AACACAATGTTCCCCTTCTCCAATTCCCCAACACTGTTCCCCTCCCCAATTCCCCAATAAAAAATCTTAAAAAAAAAAACTACTTGACTTACGAACATGAGGATTGAGTGATGCAGTGTACCTCTCTGGACCAGGCATACAGTAGGTGCTCAATAAATATTTAATTAATTAATGCATGTGAGGAGTAAGTGAGATGGTGCATTCTCCAGGGTCTGGCTCAGTGTCTGGCACAAGGGAGGCATTCAATAGCTACGTTATTAGTTAATGCATGAGTAAATGATATTTTCAAGGCCTGGTACACAGTAGGTGCTCAATCAATATGTGTTGAATGGAGGTAGTGTTTGCACAGGGTCTGGCACATGGTAGCTGCTCAGGGCATATCAGCCCCCCCACTCCCTCCCCCAGGGCCCAACACTCACCGACCACCTGGACCTCAGTCTTGGCCTGCATGGCCCAGTAAGGGTTGATGGTGACCACTACAATGTAGGTGCCGCTGTCCTTGGGCTGGGCGTGACGCAGCAGCATGGAGCCATTGGGGAAGCCAACGATGTCACGCTGCATCATGGCACTGCCATCTCTCTGGGGTCGCTGTAGCTCCGGGATGTAAGTGAACAGCCTTGTGCCGCCATAGGCTTCCTCCCCCAGGTACCAGATGAAGTCTTGGAAGGTGTCTGGGATGCCCTGGACAGACAGGAGGAGGTCCTGGTCCTTTTGAGGCTTCTCTGGAATCTTTTGGATGCGGAGGCCTGCCCAGGAGCCTTGGGGGAGCCAGAGGGCCAGGACTGAGGCTGTGGGGAGTTACAAGGGAGGCCTGAGATCAGAGGTATCGATCAGGGACCGTACCATTCTCCTCCTTATAGGTCCTCATCTGGGGGTAAGTACTCTGAGTTATTTATTGGAAACAGTGCTGGGATTAATTAGTGATGTCTGCCCCGGGTTCAGGAGTAGAAATCCAGGCGTGGATGCCACAGATTTGCCATCTCCTTGTTCCAAAAAGTTTTTCTGCCCTGAGATGCTGTGTGGCCCGCCTCTAAACCTGTGGACTCTCTGAATTCATTCATTCATTCACCCAACCAGTACTTACAGACGTATATATTATTTATGCTACAATACCAATTACCCATATGATAGATCTAAAATTACCTAGATTTCTAGGCAATGGGGACACAGCAGGGAACTGAACACAAATTCCAGCCCGCATGTGCTTAACATTCTAGAAAATGTCATAGAAAAAAACGGTGCTGGGGTTGTGATTCTACCACTACCCTCCTTCCTTGTTTTACTCTAATAATTTCATCTTCCTGGACAATCTTTCCTCCTTCCAAGGGGAAACCTCAACCCCTGGGCCAAGTCTCCTTTTCCCCTTGGCCTTGGGGGTATATTTCCTCCTTACCTGAGATCAGGAGGCCCTTTGAGAAGTGACACTGGGTCCCAGTGGGAATCGACATCTTGGTAGCCCGTGAAGATGCCACGGGTCCACCTGCTGGACCCCGAGGGGGTCAGAGGGCCTGTCTCAAGTGGGCCAGCTCAGTGAGGATCCCGGGGGTGCCTCCGAGACATGGCAGAGGCTGGCTGAGCCTCAGCACCCCTTTTCCACAGGCTCCGGAGGCTTCACCTGTGTTCACTGGGATGCATGTGTAGACACTGGTTGAACCAGTATTCTTGGTCACTGGGGAACTTCCTGAGGTTTCCCAGCACTCCCTTGATCCCCTTTAATTACTTCTTCCCACTCAGTGTGACTGTCAGTAGCAACAGCAGTAATTAGAATAAGTCACAGCTGCCTCTGGTTGAGCAATCCACCCCCCTCCCCTGGGCCCCTGCAGATTGGCCCAACATACACCACTTCGTGCAACATCCACTATGCATAAATGTTCCCATTTCAGGGCCGGCCGAGTGGCGCGATGCTTAAGAACTGGTTTGGGACGCCAGAGGGCTCCGGTTCGGATCCCACATATGAGGGCCAGTGACACTGCCCTCCACAGCTAAGATGCTGAACAACAGCTCAACCTGGAGCTGGGCTGC